AATAGAATAACAGACTATTGCATTGGGATGACACTTCCTTACCATGGAAGCGAGCCTCCTCACACAGAGCAATCAGCCTTTAGCATCTCTGACGTATCTTACAGGCTTTGCATGAGCAAGTCCAGTGAGAAAACTCTCTAGTTTTCCAATCCATTGTTGAACAATCCAGTTGTTAGAAAGGCTTCTCTTATACTCAAAAAACTTAATGCCCCAAACAAATAACCCAGACAATAAATGGGCAAAGGAACTGAACAGACACTTTACAGAAGAAGAAATATGAATGGTGAACAAATATATGAAAAAATGTTCAACATCTCTACGAGTTAGAGAAATGCAAATTAAAACTACACTGAGATTTCACCTTACTCCAGTCAGAATGGCAATTATCAAGAATACAAGTAACAATAAATGTTAATGAGGATGTGGGGGAAAAGGTACACTCACACATTGCTAGTGGGACTGCAAATTGGTGCAACAATTCTGGAAAGCAGTTGTCTCTTCTTTCTGTGAATTATGTAGATCCTTAAAGATGCAWTCTCTCAGTCTTCATAGGACATAGTGTTCCAGCTCCTTTTACAGTGTGGGGGATAATCCTCTGTCCTCTTTTAGACTTCTTCAGGAAACTTGGAATGGAAACTTGGAATGGAACCACCATTTGACCCAGTTATCTCATTCCTTAGCATATACCCAAAGGACTTAAAATCAGCATACTATAGCCACACAGCACATTAATGTTCACGGCAGCTCAATTCACAATARCTAAACTATGGAACCAACCTAGGTGCCCTTCAACAGATAAATGAATAAAGAAAATGTGGCACATACACAAAATGGAATATTACTCAGCCATAAAGAAGAATGAAATGATGTCATTTGCTGGTAAATGGTTGGAACTGGGGACTACCATGCTAAGTGAGATTAGCAAATGCCAAAACACCAAAGGCTGAATGTTCTCTCTGATATGCAGATACTGACTTACAATAGATGGGGTCTGGGAAAGGGGTAGAGGGTCACTGGATTGGACAGGGGGGAATGAGGGGAAGGGAGAAAGATGGGAATAGGAAAGACAGTAGACTGAATCAGACATAACTTTGCTATGTTCATATGTGAATACATGACCAGTATAACTTTGCACCATGTACAACCACAGAATGGGAAGTTATACTCCATGTATGTGTGATATGTCAAAATACATTCTACTGTCATGTGTAACTAAAAATAACAAATTGAGAGAGAGAGAGAGAGAGAGAGAGAGAGAGAGAGAGAGAGAGCTTCCATTATATTGAACAGAGATTTGTGCTTTTATCATTTCACCCGTCAGGCCTAGTTCAGCTCTGAAGCCACAGAGAAGTCTCTTGTCTCTTGTTTCTGTGAATTATGTAGATCCTTAAAGATGCATTCTCTCAGTCTTGGTAGGACATAGTGTTCCAGCTCCTTTTACAGTGTGGGGGATAATCTTCTGTCTTCTTTTAGACTTCCTGTTTGTAGATTTTCTTCTAAAATGTAGTGAGCAGAATATGTAACTTTTACACTTAATTATAAGTACCATTTACTGCCATACACCTTTCTATACATGCTTTTCATGTATCATTTCACTTAATCTTCACTCAGTCCCATGCAGGAAGTTGTTACTACTTTTATTTTATAGATAAGGAGTCTATAGCTCAAATAAGTCCTTAATGGACTCGAGATTACCCAGTAGTAAAGAACAGAGATGGATGTGATGATTTCCCAAACCTACAACTCTTTACAATTATCATAATTTTTTTATTACCTAACAAGCTAGTTATAATGAGTAGAACTATTTCTTTAAATTCAATCCCTGGGTTTAAGTTGAATGTGATCCAGAAAGTGGCTGAGAGATAACTGGCTTCAGGGCTCAGAAGTGTGGTCTGAACAGAGGCCAAGTGACATTTTGTTACTCCTCATCGCTAGTTGAGTTCCTTGATGGAGTGCTGCTGGTATTCCAGTGTTCATTCATTCATTCACACGTTGCAAGTGTTTATCTACAGCAAGGAACTGTTAGGGAATGGCTGTGGGAGAACAATGGGTAGGTTCTTGGGGGGAATGGATGGTGAATAAGACCCAGGTTGCCCTTCTAGCCTATTATCAAAAAAGATGAGAGAGGTTAACCATCAATGGCATGAAGCAGAAGGTGGTGATGCTGTGGAGATGCATAGCAGTGCCTCACATTTCAGAGGGAGGAATTGCTTTCAGGAGAGTGGGAAATCTGGCAAAGCTTTGCAGAAGAGGTTACATTTAAGCAAATTTCTTACTTTCTCTGCTTCAGTTGCACACTCCAAAGATGGTATTTAAAGAGTATTCTTAATGGGTTGTTGTGAGGATCCAATAAACCAATTCAAGGGAGTTTAATACATTTAATACGTTTAGTGAATCCTCAGTAAAGTTAGCTATATTTGAGGCACAGCATTAGATCAGGATCAAATATAGGGTTTTGAAGTCTTCCAGGCCTGGGTTCAAGTCCAACATGGTGTAGTTACAAACACTTAATTTCCTTGGTTTTAAATTCCTCATATGTAGAATAGAGTGAATGATAATACTACTTAATAGGTAGGTGGCTTATATGAGCCAATTAATGCTAGCAACTTAATGAGTAGGAAGAATAGGTTCTCAGATCCTGTTAGCCTTGGTTACTTATTATCTTTTGAGCTGGGCTTTGGAGGATGAGTAAGATCTGGGAGAAAGGAACATTCTAGATAGAGTAAGAACATTCCAGATAGAGGATACCAGGCACAAGGTACACTGTGATTGGTAAGGAGGTCACATTAGCTGGGCCATCTAGGCTGCATGAAGGGAAGGAGGGAGTTCAGTGACCAGAGTTGGGTGATCTTGGAAGCCAGAATGAGGAGTCTGGGTGGAGTTCTAGTCTCTGGTCAATGAGGCCATGCCATCCTATGCACTGTGTTCAAGATTTTGCTGGGCATTCATAACTCCCTTGTTCTCCTTGTTCTGCATCACAATCTCAGATTATTCCATCATGGCCCACTATTTGCCAACGTTTGGACTGCAGTTGCCTCCTAACTGGACCCCCCTCTCCTCCTCTTATATCTCTTCCCATAGTTCTCTACACACCACTGGTAGAGTGATTTGTCAAGAGGCAAACTTGATCAGTGGCTTTGCCTGCTTGACCCCTTTATGGCTTTGCATGGTACTTATGCCAAAAATCTAAAACCTTTATCACAATTTAAAACCTGCTGGATCTAGCTTCTCATTTGTCCTTTGGCTCAGCATTCTGGCAGGAAAAGAGCATAATCAAAATGGGTGAGTATAAGGCTGTGGAAGGGATTTGAGAAATAAACCAAGTGCAGTCCTGGATGGGTAATAACAGGGAGTTGTTAGCACCTCTAGTTCTGAATGACAGGTGGAGGGAGTCATTGTCTGGCCTACCAAGTAGCTTCATAGAGATGATCACCCGATGGAAGTATGGCCATGAGGAGAGGGGTACAGCCACCATAGCTAGATGAGCTGCCCTAAGTACAAATAATGTCACAAAAATCTGGAGGGCCCCTTGGAAGTCTCTAGAGGCCCTTGAGTAGCTTTCATGTCACCTGTACTTGAAATGCACTGCTTTTTTTTCTGTATCCTGTGCTTGTCCCTTCACCTAGTTGATCCCTGCTTTTCTACTTTCAACCTGAGTAGGCTTAAGGATGAAGCCTTTGTTGATTTTCTCCATTTAGGTTACGTACTTCATCACATATTTTGTCGGTATCCTCTAGTTATCTTTTGCTATGCATATGGAAATTTCACAATAATTAATTGTATGATCACTTATTTAATCATAGATGCGTTGTTGGAGCCCATAGTGGGCAAACAAGACTACAGGGTATCTAAACAAATACCTTTTGCATGTGTAGGATGTAGTAAGATTAAGACTCAATGTTGTAGGCACTGGTAAATGCAAGGGATACAGAGATGGGCCATATTTGGTACCTGTCCTCAAGAGTTCATGATCTAATAGAGGAGATAGTTACATAAGCAGATAAAATCATGCAGTTCGAGAACTATTCTAGCTGTCTAAACAAGTTCATCTCCAAAGCACAGGGAAGAGAACAGGGCATTCTGTCTCTGTCTCTAGTGGGGGAAGAGTTTAACATTGGATATTAGAGCTGGACCTTGGAGGATGGGTAGGGTTTGGTCAGGTGAAGGTCTTCCAGGCAGAGGGAACAGCATGAACAAACTGAAGACTATGGCACATCAAGATAGGGACTTATTTGACCTGTGTACTTTCCACAATTAGAGGGGTACATTAGCCAGCATAACTTTCCAGGAAGTTTTAGTCGATGGTGTTCTTACACAAGCAATAAAGTGAGAGACCAAACAAGGAGACACTGGGAGATAGAGGAGGGAAAGAGATATTTGGAGGACCATGAAGAAAATGKTAAGTTGGACAATAGCCAAAAGCAGCATAGGAGAATCAAAGGATGACAAATGCTTTTATGTAGAGTAAAATAATTCTTTATAAGTTATTACTTAAAAGAACCCAAGCTTCCATTAGTCCTAGTGTCTGGCTTGTGATCTGAAAACAAATCTGCCATGTCCTAGGACAACTTGTACTTTTGCTGAGAATCCTAGGTCTAGGGCATTGAGTGGTTTGGTTGGCACTGTCCTGTGGTACTTTTGAAATAACATTTCCCGCTGTCTGCCAACTTAATAGTTCACTATCTTTATTTAGGATTTTTGTCAACACTCTTCTCTAGACTATTTCTGAAAGAATCTTTTGACAATTCATATTACTGCCACCTGTTGATTCACCACATTCACATCCTTTCAATGTCACCTTCTCAATTTCTCTATCATCTGTGCAGGGTTCTGAAGTCAACAACAGTTTTTCATGATTAATGCATCCATTTTGCCCAGCAGGGGTGTGTCACTTGTATGAGGTCTTGGGTCAGGTGTTGGAGAAACCCAGARGAATAAGGTACTGTTCTTGCCCTCAAGAAACTCACAGTCGAACAGAGTAGACAACCCAAAACAGATTTTTATCAAATAGATGGTGAATGAAATGATACAAATAGCTTCATGATCTTATGAAAAACACCAATGAAGTTTCCTGAGGAGGGGGAGGGAGTGGAAGGCATCCTGGGGAAAGACATCTGAGAAGAGCCTCAGAAAGATCTAGACATTTGTCAAGGAAAGGTGAGTAGATGGAGGGATCTCCAGGCAGAGGGATCATCTGAGCCCAGGTAGGGCAGGAGATGACAAATGGAGACAAAGTTGGTGAGAGAGGCAGGGATCTTGGAGGGCTGTGAGCAAAGCAATTTGTTTGGGTTGTTCATTTTTGTAGATTTAGATTATGGACAGCTATTGTGAGATTTTATGGTCAGAGCTCTATTTTAGATACTTTGTTGATTTTGATGACTTTGAATGACACAATCTAAGGAAAATCTGCCCAGAAGGCAACTACTCCAACTGATGAAGTGAGAGTTGGTAGGACAAATGCAGTGGAGAAGAGGATACAGATTCTGAGAAATACCAAGGAGGTAAATGCAGGCAGGACTTGGTGACTGAAGAGAGGGTGAGGAAGAGACAAGCATCCAACAGAGTGCTTAGGCTCAGATCCTAATTTAATATCTGTGGAGGAACCAGCAAATTCCTCAGATAAGCTGTACACAGGACATTTGGTCTTGGCTTCAAAAATAGACTCCATCACATACTGTGAATTTCACCATAGTGTTTTAGTCTTACTGAGTCTCAATTTCCCTGTCTGTAAGATGGAATTATAAAAGTGACTTTGAGGATTAAATGAAAAAAAGGTTTAAAGGTTTTGTAAAGCTGAAAGGGCTAATCATACAGTCAGTGTTATTGCTCAAGTGCTGCCTCTGTGATCTTTACCAGTTGAATTTTGCATTTCTGTTTGGAGTTTGCAAAATAATCACCTCTTCCAATATCACCCAGGGAGAAGACTTATTTCACAAATAGCATCCAAATTTTGAATTTGGGGGTGAAGCTGTGTGGAAACAAGACAAGAGTAAGTAAGATATTTAATTATCTTTTGCCCTGTTTTAAATGATAACTCTCTTTTGTTTTTAACTTAATAACTTTTAATTTAGATAAACATTTATTGTAATCATATTGTTGAAGTGATTACATCATCAAATATGTAAAAGGACTTGGCAGTATTGGATGCAGAGTTTGTTCTTAATAACGTGAATTTTCTTTCTTCCGTCCTTTCTTCAGAAAGAAAAAATAAACTCTCATTTAATCACCAATTGTCTGAACTCCAAAACTCTGCAAAATGCAAACTCAGTAATGCGTACAAGAAAGCAAGTCCTCATGCCCCAAATCATCACTCATCTATAGGAGATGGGTTTATTTTTTTTTTTTTAATTAGGGAAGTGAGGGCATTTTGAAGCACTTTTTCATCCTTTTGATGGCCCTCAAATAATTTTTAATTTTACTAAGTGACTTAAAAATTTAAGAGTTGCTCATTTTAAAAAATTCATTACCTTGCTAATAGAAAATAAGACTTGGAGAAAGTTGGCTTTGAGATGTGTTTTGGAAATTGTGGTTGACATTCTAGAAGATTTATTACACTTCAAACAAATTATTAAAGCCTTAGTACAAATAGTTGACTGAGTGGGATCTGGAAAAGTGTTCATCCTCCACAACTTCCCCGGCTGGAACTTTCCACCACTTCCTGAACATGAAGTGGCTACATGGAAACACTGTTCTGATTGGCACAAAGCCCCGGCCTAAGTCAGTTCTACTTTTTGTCTCCATGGTTAKCGAGTTAATATAGCATTTTAGTTTAAAAGAAAGGAACAAGGAGTTCTGAACATTGGTTTTGTATTTAGTAATGGTTTTGTAGAGCTGGGAGTAGGGTGATATGATGCATTTATATGTATGCGTATGCATGAGGGAGATGGTTAGAGGAGGAAAAGGTTAATTTTGTCATATTTGAAGGAAATATTGGGTTCTTTACAAATAGGGACCTCTGCTAAGATTGGATTCCTTCTATTAAAGGTGTTCTTCCATAGCCAAAGTTCATAGCTGTGTCAAAAAAACAGAGTATAGAACAGAAAAAATAGTAATTTCTGGATGATGTGAATTTGGTGAGTAAAGAGGGGTCTGGTTAGACAGAGAGCTGCTGTATCTCACAGGCTGGTTTTTTTTAAGACTATTTGTTTTTTAAGCAAAGAAGTAGAATATAAAAATCATAAGATGTGAAGATTTAGCAAGGGGTTAGGGGTGTAACTCAGTGGTAGAGCATGTGCTTAGTGTTTGCCAGTTCCTGGGTCCAATCACCAGCACCACCCCAAAAAAAATATTTGATAAAATATGGGACTAAAYCAGAGGTGCACAAACCCGCCCAGTCATAGCAATGATAATATATACAGGGCCCACCCAGCATAGACAAAGCCAATCAGCCAGGAAAGGGTTTTCCTGGCTTCTTGCTGGGARGAACTAGAGATAGGGAAGAACAGAACTTAAGAGTATACATTGTGTCCATTCTCTCTTCCTGAAGGATTCAGTTATTGCCCCAATAATTCTCTTTCCTGAGCTAAAATGGAAACTCTTCAAGTCACCAAAGTAGGTTGGACCAGACCAGCKGTCCCCTTGCACAATTTCCTTGCTGTGGTTTGAATGTGCTTCTGCCCAAACTCATGTTGAGGTTTGATTCCCAACATACTGATATTAAAAGGTGGTAGGATCTTGAAGAGGTGAGACCTGGTGGGAGGTGACTGGRTCATGYGTGGCTGGTTGCATGAAGGGATTAATTCTGGTCTCTTGGAGTGGGTTAGGTTTCAGAAGCATGGGATAATTCTTGCCAGAAAATTCATTATAAAAGAGAAAGTCTGGTCCTCCTGTCTCTTGCTTCTTCTTGCRTTATGTAATGTCTCCTCTGCATGCACCTGCTTGCTGCTCTCACATGTGCTCCACCATGTGATACCCTCTGCCATATGGGGATGCAGTCAGTTGGTCCTTTTTAGGGGTCTGTGCCATGCTATTTCGACTTTCCAATCACCAGAATCATGAGCCAAGTAAACCTCTTTTCTTTATCCATAATCATTCAGCATCTTGTATTTTGTTATAGTAACATAAACCAGACTAAGATATCACTCTTTTTTTTTTTTATTTAATATTTATTTATTTATTTATTTTTTAGTTTTCGGTGGACACAACATCTTTGTTGGTATGTGGTGCTGAGGATCGAACCCGGGCCGCACGCATGCCAGGCGAGCGCGCTACCGCTTGAGCCACATCCCCAGCCCAAGACATCACTCTTGAGGTGCTTTATTTGTCCATGTTACTATGTCTTCAAAACACTTTAGTCCCCCTCTACAGAGGGGTGAACGAAAACAATTTATTATACACATACTTCCAATACCTGCTCCCCCAAGGCTGGCTAGCTGCCTAGTCACTGAGTGATCCATTCTCCCCCTCCCCTTATTAGAAATGACTACCTGTGTTCTGTATGAACTTCTGATACAAAAGTGGGTTTCTTTGTGGACTTTTTCACTTCACTGATTATTTTTGCACCAATATATGTTTATTGTTTTTTGAACTCTAGTTCTATAAAATGTTTTAATTTGATAGGGCTAATATTTTATCATTATTCTTGTTGAGAATATTTTTTTTCTCATTTTTATTTTTTTTTTCATGGAACTTTCCTATGAACTTTAGTACATTTTGGYGAGTTTCTATTCCTTCTCCTGCATAACCCATTCCCTCTCATCTTCCATATAATCATATTAAGGCCCATAGAAATGTCCTTCAGTAGTGTTTCAGTTGTTTCACCTTAGGATTCTTTGTAACTTGTGCTTTTATTCACCCTAATCCTYCCATGAATATGGAGAAATTGCTGCAACCTGAAGATGTAACTATCAACGGGAGAGAAGGATTCCTTCCCGGTCATCAGGTTGTTATTTCATTCATAGCTCATTTCATCTTGCGGCAGTCAGAGCTATAATTTTGTTCAACATAATCCAAGAGATTAAAAAAAAATTTTAATGTTGTCTGGGCGGTGATGCACTCTTGGGAGGCTGAGGCACRAGAACTGGTTGAGCTCAGGAATTTGGGGCTATAGCGCGCTATGACAATCTGGTGTTCACATGAAGTATCAGCAAGGGAATCATGCSTATAAACATCAGTGCAGTCCAGCCTGGGCCACATAGTGAGACGTCATCTCCTAAACAATTATTTTTAAATTTTTTTTTTTTTTTTTAGTTGTAGATGGGCACAATACCTTTATTTTATTTATGGGAGGATTGAACCCAGTGCCCCACGCATGCGAGACAAGTGCACCACCACTGAGCCACAACCCCAGCCCTCTTAAAATAATTTTAATATTTAAATTCTTTCTCCTTTGATCCTTCTTCTAAGACCCCCCCCCCACCCCTGCTCTCCTAGAATCCTCACCTGTAGCCAAATCRTTCTCCTTGTTCCACAGGTCCTGATCTTCTTCCTCCACCTTCACTCTCAGATGCCTCTCTTTTCTCTAGTCTTGAAGCACATGTATCAAATGTGTATAAAGTTAAGGGATACACTTGCCACGCAGCCAACCTGACATGGCTACACATCTTTTTAACCTTTCTATCTTTCTTTCTGCTATACTATTAAGGCATATATGCTTTTTTTTTTTCCTTTTGGTTCCCCACTCCCCTCTTCTCACCTCACCAGAGACACTTCACATGTCTCAGAGATCATTCTGCACTTTATTTCCTTATTGTGATTCAYAACAACTGTGCTTTTACATTGCACCCAGATTGTTCTTTAACAGATTTTCTTTCTATTTTTAAAAAATAGGTGGGACATAGGTTAAAAAAAAAAACAAACCCTGAAAATATTCAGATAGTGAGTAGTGTACTTGACAATTCCTTTAGTGCAAACTGAATGGCTTGTAGCATAGTCTATTCAATAACTTTTAAAATTTCTCCTCTTGCCCTCCTGAAATATGCCCTTGGAGTGGAAGAGTGGGCTGGTGGCACCATTTTGATAGTCATCTCATCTGTTCCCTCATTGGTTGAGTCACAATGTAGATTCTTATCTGAATGCCCCAAAGGTGATACTGTACCATGTGTAAGTTTCTCCCATTTTCCTGGCCTTCCCAAGTTCCATTATCTTCTTGAGGCATCCGCAGATATGTCAGAAGGAGCCCCCCCACTTTCTGAATCTCTTGGGCCATCTTTTCTTTGGGGTTGGTGCCTTTTTTACCTTTTGGTGCTTTTTTTTTGGTGTTGGTAGGTACCAGTTTGGCGCTTATCTTTTTCAGATCAACTTATCTACTTGGAACATGAATTCCAGAGGGTTTTAAAACTTGGTCCTATCACCTAGTAGCTGTGTGATCTTAGACAATTTAGTCTCCAGACCTCCTTGGTTTTCTCATCTGGGAAATGACTATCTGCTTCATAGGATGCTTATAAATATTGTATGAGTTGGTATTTGTAAAGTGTTTAAAACAGTGCCTAGCCCAAAGTAAGCACTCTATAAAAGTTTTTTTTAAAAAAATTGTGCTCCTTCTCACCTACCAACCACATCCAATGTGGCTAAAGAAGGAAGAAGGAAATAGTGTAAGAGACAGCTAGCTTCCTAGTCACTGAGATATGTGAACTGACATTTCTCTGTTTTCAAAAATAGAAATCCTGGTTCTTTTAATCAAAACGAGCAGTTCTCAACCTCACTGTGCTATATTGTGAGGCAAGAAGATTATTATGAGTTTCATCCTAGTTACAACCAACCATGGTAAAAGTGCTGACATTTTTATAATAAAGATACAAGGACTGCAAGGTTTGATTCTCAAGCACTTTCTTGAATGGGAACTGAGAAAAGTCAAAGTCACAGAAAATGAAATGGTACCTGGGAACTCATCAAGGCATTTTTCCCACAAGGGCAATTCTCTGGTAATATGTGGAGTGAATGCTTGTGTAAACATTGTGAAGCCTGGTGGACTTACACGATTATCAGCCCCTTGCTTAGTAGCTCCTAAATGTTCCCTGGGTATGTTGTGAGTTTGGATTTCTTTAATGA